AGGTGTGAGCCTGGTCAGTACCTGGATGGGAGACCTCCTGGGAAAAACTAAGGTTGCTGCTGGAAGAGGTGTTAGTGGGGCCAGCAGGGGGCGCTCATCCTGTGGTCTGTTTGGGTCCTGATGCCTCAGTATAGTGACGGGGACACAATATTGTAAAAAAGGCGCCGTTCTTCCGATGAGACATAAAACCGAGGTCCTGACTCTCAGTGGTCATTAAAAATCCCAGGGTATTTCTCTAAAAGAGTAGGGGTGTTACCCCCAGTGTCCTGGCCAAATTTCCCCCTGACCCTTACCCATCATGGCCTCTTAATAATCCCCATCTCTGAACTGGCTTCATCACTCTGTTGTCCTCCCCACTGAGAGCTGGTGTGTGGGGAGCGGACTGGTGCACTGTGGCTGCTGTGGAATTTATTGGCACTGTGGTGGGGGTTACATATTGGTGGCGGTGGAGGGGATCCCCATTACCTGTAAAGCGCTTTGGGTGGAGTGCCGAGAAAAGCGCTATATAAGTGTAAGCAATAATTCTTTATTTATTATTATTTGTTGTCACTGCTGATTCACTGCAATGCTCACAAATCATGCCACTAGCTTTAGAGAGAGGTAGGTGAAATCATTTCTCTAACGTGTGTTTTAAAAAGGATAATTCTGGGACTATAAAAACTAAAAACTGATTTCCTATAGGAATGCATTTAAATAGAGAGGGATGCATGTTTATATAATGGACTAAAATGCTTTTTTAAACTAAATGTTTATTCATTGCATGTAAAATTAAAAGGGAAAAAACATCACTGTTCATGATGAGTCACGAACTCAGCTAATCTGCATAGTTAAGTTTGGTCCTTTTACTCTCAGTGAGCCTTTTAAGATCACTTTATTAACCGTTTACAATTTCTTGCATTAGGAATTATCTTTTCACATACCCCAGCTTGCTCTCTTCCAAAAACACAACCAAGAGAACATACCCAGTATTTCAAAATTGTAATCTCAAAACGATTTTGTTATCACCATACACTAACAAAACAATGATGGTGTATCTGCCTACAGCTTCAGGAGACCTTCCTGCAGAAGGGGACTCACCGAGAGTTGTCCACGGGGACTCACCGAGAGTTGGTACAGTGCTGCTTCTAGGGTCTTTCTGAACGTCAGGTTTCACAAAGGCCGAGTACGTCGCTTCAACTTCAGCTGGAATAAAAACCAAGCCTTAAAATCAAAGTGGCCATTTCACTCTGGGTAAGAGTGTGGGAATGGAACACATGAAATATGACTCAAACTACAGTAATGCTATGGCCTGCTGGATTGTCTCCCAGATCCTTCTCAGCATAACGTGAGTGATTAGGTTTATGCACTAAATAAAGATTTTAAGGATATTCCCCTTCATTGTCTTGTTATCCACCACAATTCTACAGAATGTCAATAAGTCCTCCACAGGCGTGCAGTAGTGATGAGGTCGAGTGAAGGGTAGGGTTAGTATAAACACTACTGTGTATGTATGGATGCTGTATTATTATACTGTAGAAGCCCACAGTAAAACGATAATTAAATCCAGACTCAAAACCTTCTTTAGAAGAGCATTCACTTAACTGGTTCTATTCTTTACCCCCCTGCTCCTACTGTATTTGGTACCACCATCTACTGTCTCCTCTCAGTGTGTATCGCCATCATGCATATCTTGTGTATTTTGTTTATTTTTGTTGTTGTCATTCTGTAAAGCGCTTTGAAAGCCACCTTTAAAAGCGCGACATAAAATCAAGTTTATCATTATATTATCATGAACAGAATCTTTTAGACCTAATTTATACAGCTCAAATGCAACTGTGATGGCTAGATCTTCATGCTTCATGATCAGGGTGTGTTTTCATAGTATTAATAGCCCCATTGCTGGTGAGGGGTGAGATAGCGGTTGTTATTTAACTGCAGCACTCACAGATCACTTTCTGCGTGCTTTGGCTCAGGGCGATGTCTATGTTGTTCCAAGGAAAGGAAGTAGTTGTACCCTTTGGCTCAGCTGAAAAACAAGAACGGACAGACCAAATCAGGGTTTCGCTTGGAGTTTAACCTCACTGTTAAATCCGAAATTGTCATCCATGTGGATTCCGCTGCAGTGCACACAACAGGAACTCACATGGCTCTGGGGCAGTGCTGAGGTCAGGGTAGTAAACGTCATTGGATGTCACACTGTCCTTGATTGTCGTGGACGAATCTGTAGGGGGATAAAAAAATAAAAGTGGTCAATGCTTCTACTCTGTGGGTATCAAAGTCTGGATTTAATTTTCCACG